CCCCCCAATAAAAAGAAGCCCTCCGCAAAATTGAGTCGAACAAAGCACCAAACACACAAGCAACTCAGAGCACAAGTTAGAGTTTGATCATGTCACACATTTTCTTTAATCCTCTTTAACAGTTGCTGTATTGTCAGAGAAACAAAGATCATGTCGTTATAACCAGGAAGCAGTCAGTCTTACTCAGTACAAAGTGGAAAAAAAGAACGGGGAATGAAACAATGAGATCAGCAACACTAGATAGATCTAAACAGAAACATCCTAAGCTACAAATCATTAGAAGCACGAAGTCTATAATTATTCTGCTATTAGATTTATATTTTACGAAAATATACTGACTCTTATAGAATGATGCGACCTAGGAGAATAACTAGCGTTTCTAGGGCGTCTACTACAATGCAAAAAGACTAGTCTAGTCAAAACTGCTGTAATTAGAATGACCAGCGTCCTGATATACAACAGCTGTACATTAAAAAAAAAAAAATTTAAAGATGAGAAAAATCTATATCAGTTTACCAACACACTCGTAAAACAAACGCTATTTACTAAAGCCAAAAGCAATATTATGTAAAACGAATAATACATTTAGACTTAATGTGCTATCGACTATCACGAAAAATATAAAGGATAATCTAATCCTAGTGGCTGGATCGAGTAAAAAATCACAGTAGCACGTACGTCTCATAGTTCCCGGTGTGAGATTATATTATTTATGTCCCTTTTAAAACTCCACCCAAATATGAGCGGATATATATTTCTTTATAAGAATTGTTTGAACTAGCACAAATTAATTGTGGATCTAAAACACATGGACAATGTCTAAAATCTTACCAAATACGCATAGAAATTTCAGAATATCAACAGTTTAAAGTGTTGGAAGTGGAAGAGGCAATTCGATAAATCAACATGACGTATTCTCGTACATCATAAAAATCAACATACTTTTGTAATCAATAAGCCCAGGAATGGCAGTATAAAACTTGCAATATATACAAGAGAGGAATACATTATAGTTTGGATAGCTGTGTACATTTGAAAAAAAAGGAAATATGGAAAGTAATAACCAGAGCTGGGTATGTGGAAATGTAACAAGATGAAAACAACAGTAACAAAGACCATTGTGAACTGCAGTACGTCACCAACAGCCTCGCATCACACAATCATCAACATTTCGCTACGCCAGAATTACAAAGTTCCATCTGACATTAAATCTGGCCGTTTTGAGTTACTAAGACCATGAGATCAGAAACTAAATGTTCTATCTTCTCTCCAAAAATCGTTAGATTGTCTGGAGTCGTTATCAAGATATTCAAAGATTTGCATTTTTAAAAAGCTCGACATAATGTGAAACTCAAAATTTTTTACGTCAAAATTGGCAAAACTAGGTACTGAGCAGAAAAAAACTTGGTAATTCTAAGGTAGCGATTTTTTGGTCAATTAAAGGAGATAATGCAAGTTTTAATTGGTAGTTCATTTGTTTGAGTAAACAGAAGCACATCAACATAATAATGATCATTATTTAGTACTAGGGTAATGTAAGACAAGACAGACAGAAAGAACAGAAGGAAAGGAAAGAAGTAGAACCTACAAGTGGGAGTGCCCTTCCAATCACCCGCATGACTAGTAGTGATCAATGCGCGTAAAAATTTGACAGGGAAGGGCATAGGCGCCCATTTTCCTCTGCCTGTGCGTATAGAGCATAGTAAACAAAGGCAGGTTGTTGTGTGATTTTCATAAACACGCAGAGAGGAAACAAGTGCAGCCTTATATCCACGCGCAAAAAGTACTCAGATAGAATCCAGCAAAGTCGATAACAACAACATTTTTTCAGAAGTATCGTTCCCAAGCGCACTTCCTATTTCAGTGCTCTTTTGGAGACAATCATTCTGAGGAGAACATTGTACCTCTGCTCAAAAGGAGAAAAAGCATTGCATGTGACGTAAAGCGACGCAAAGTAGCATAAACACTTTTCCCTCAAGTCTGATCTGCATGATAATCAAACAGAAATGGGCAAGGGAAAAAAATGTGAATTTTTCCTCAAATAAAGCTCAATCTGAAACAGACATCGGTGCTCATGGTTCACCATTCATTGCTATGCACCAATGCTTTCACCAAAGAACCTATTGATATTTTTATCCTGGCCTTTGTCTATCACCTATCTCTCGCTACCTGTTTCCCTCTGCATTCAGGAATCGAACTCGGGTCTCCTGCGTGCGGCAGCGAGGCGTCTAACCGCTACATTGTAGGCCACAAGCTCAAGTACATAGGACAAGATAAGGACGTTTAGACATTATTTCATTGTTGACGTCTCAAAATTCAGAGCACCCACGGGATCGGTTTAACATGCAAAGGTTGGGACACCGGCAGTAACATGGTTTGCTGCCTTTTGTGTGTGTTCTATTTGTTTGTGTGAGTAAAGAGAAGCACATCGACACAATAATGGTCATTTAGTACTGGAAAAAAGAGAGACAGACAGACAAACAGACAGAAACAACAGAGGGAAAGTAAAGAAGTAGGACCTACCAGTCAGTGGCGCACCCCAACTACCCACAGGACCCTTTTTTTAAAGACCTTTTGAGACGCTACATTCAGTTTTAGTCGAAGTAAAAGTTTTACGGCATTTGCAACACAACCATGTCATATAAGTACCAAAGATTAGAGAGGTGTTATTAGAGAGTAACATACCAAAAAAAGTAGGAGAACAGATACAAGGATGACTTTTGAGATGTTAGGTTCCATCTCCAACACGAGTAGAGAGGAGATCATACATGTTTTCAAATATATTTGCTAATGTTTTGGAAGAACGAATATCAATTATAAGCTTACGTTAATATACGATTAAATACAATGTCGGTTACAACCGGTTTTCAAAAGAGGACTAGAGATGGTGAAAGAAAAGTGCAAGTACATTGTATTAAGAAAGAGTTGCAAAGTAATACAATGGACAGCAACCTCTGTGAGAATGAAAAAGAATAGCATTAACATTGTAGAAAAATACCTATAAACTGTATATTGTTATATATAGTATAACGTATCTGATCTCACAACGACCTAATATGCCGTAACATTTTGATCATGGATATCCACAAAAGCCTGGCATAGTGCCCTCCCCCC